GACTATCTATCTATCTATCTATATCTATATCTATATCTATATCTATAATATATATATAGGATATATAGATAGAGAGATATATATATATTAGATATATATATATATTATATACATACATACATCTATATGATATATACATATAGACCTATATATATATATAATTATTATATATATATATATATATATATATATATATATATATATGGCGGGCGGAACACTTGGCTACGGGGGTTGTATGGCATGATGTTAAGATAAAAGATAACAGTGTTTTTGTGACATATATGTCATGAAAGCACTGCTATCTCTTATCTTACCATCATGCCATACAACCCCCTATACCCCTGTACGCCAAATGTCCCTCCCAACACGGACAGTGGGACCCTAAGCCCGCCGGCTCTCCACCGCCGGCCGGGTCTGAACAGTCCTGCTGGCTGGCCGTCAATCGACGCTCCGGTAAGGACTACCTATTGGCGCCAGTTTTACAGCCCTTCACAAGTGCCGGCGGCGCTGAGCGGGCCAGGCAGCGCCCATCCGCCTCACGCCTCGCGCACGAAGGCCCCAATAAGGCTGGCAATCCGCGCGCTGATCGAGGCCCACTCCCGGCAGTGACATCACGGCGCAGATGCGTGCGACGGCCAATCAGCGCGGAGGTCGCTCGTCTGCCTGCAATTATCAGCCGCTGAGAGCGCCCGATTGCCCTACCGACGCACAGGCGAACACGGATGATTGGAGAAGAACGGGTGTCACTAGGGGCGCGTTCGGCCGAGGCGAAAATTATTCAGCGCAGAATTATATCTCCGATAATCATTCACGAAGATTCGCCATTTACGTTCGGTGCGTCCGGAACTTATCCCCCAGATTCGACTCCTATGCGCCATGCACAGCCAACGGACATAGCTACGCATAGCGGAAAAAAGATTCCCCATCCTGACCGTGCTCTGAAAATTTTCCGGAACTTTCTCTCGACACGGAAAATTATCTGATCTAATTTTCCGTGCTGGCAGTGCCCAACGCCATGCCGGATAATGTTCCGAGATTATTTGCCGGCCAAACACAACTTAGGCCTTTACGACACACTCAGCTGCTGAGGCTCAACGGCGTCGCTGACCTCTAAGGCTGACAGGAAGGGCGGGCACCGCGGGGAATCACACCCCGTGCTTTGAGCGGCCAGCGGGGACGCAGGCAGACACCGAACGCGTGGGCTGACACAGACGTTCACCGACGGCACGGACGCACAGGGGCGGACACGGAGGAGTTCGGAGATCACATGGAAGGGTCCGGCGGACAGCGGCGGACACGGGCAGGTGCGGACGGCAGCACGCGGTGGCGGCGGGACATTGGGGGTGACGGGTAGGAGCTGAGAGCCACTGCGGTCCGTTGACGCCAGGTCACAGGCGTGATGTGACGAATGGCGCCTGCGAAAAGCAGCTCAAAACGCCCTCCGTCCCAGACTACACCAGACTAGACTACACCAGACACCTATACCAGACTATATTGACTATGGCGATGAATAACTGATAACTCAACGAGCACGTGACTGTCACCCTAATTACGCTGCAAATGATCAAGCTGATTAAAGTGAAGGAGCAGTAGCGACGAATGATCAAACGAAACACAGATCAATGGCGAGTTTCACAACAGTTCATTGACGGATCCATGCATATTAAATGTGAACTCTAGTCACGTTTGAAAGCCGTTCGCGAATGCCGCGGCCAGCCACACTAGCTCCGAGGCCGCGAGCCGCACAGGCAGCTCCAAATCACACCGAGCCACCCCGTCCGGCTGCCGCTGACAGACGCAGCGGTCATGCTGGCTCACGGCACCTCGCCCCAGGGGTGTACCCTCCTATTCAGTTAGGAGAGCTATAGCCGCCCTCTCCCTAACGATGCGAAGAAGGTGAGCAAAATCTGCCGGAACACACATTTGGTGGCGTCTTTTTGGGGTGGGCCTCGCAAATATTCACTGCTCAGTTTCCGAACTATTTTTGCGAAACTAGGCCTCTACCTCTGCCAGTGCCCTCCCTCTCGCCATGTGTTGGGCAGAAGCCCGAGCGTGGGAGGGGAACCGCTCGGGACGCCCCCGACTCGCGGGACAAGGGCGGGCGGGGGCAGCTGTGGTGCCGCCCATCGATGAGACTGCCCCCTCGCCCCCCTCCCCCGCGACAATGAGCAGGGGTGAGGGGAGGGGAAGAGCTGCGGCTAGGGGGCGGACGGGCGAGCTGGGACACGCGTGATGAGGGCAATGTGTGGTCAGCGTCGGGCTGATCCACTTCGCGACCTCAAGCCCGCGCTGAGATTCGTGTCACATCATCTTTGGTAATTGGCCATGCACACAGTACCGGAAGAGTAGGGGATGTTACCACCGAGTGATCGACACCCGCTGAGGGCATCCCGGCTAGCCCAAGGACTTTTCGGTCAGATAGCCTGAACGCACGACAAATGACATTTCAGTGCATCAGACCTAAGCGGACGCATACAGAAATGTGACTGAGGATTCAACAGGAGAGCAAAACCGGAAATCGAAGGCCTTGGAGTGCGAAAGCGTTGCCTAACGCCATACAACACTTCTCTTCAGCGGACAAAACGGGCCTAATGAGAGCTAAATTATCGCGCATTGTTCGCATGCGACGATACTCCGACGAACCAACACGGGACCCATAGAAGTTACACGAATTGCGCGTACCAAAAGTTAGTCTTGTTCGGTAGATGTGGGCAAGCTGCGACATTCTTCCCCGATGCATATGGCTCGTTGCAAGGTTTTTCACTTTATGGGGCAATAACTCTGACGAGCTCTGGCATTCTCACAGGCCCGGTTGGAGGCGAGTGCCGTCAGACATATACGGCTAGTTCCATCACGCTGGCGTTCACCGCAATGGGCGAAGATGAAGCGCAAAACAGCGATCTTCCAGCTTCTGATATTGGTTGCGGTTGAAAAACAAGAGGCAAAAACACAATTGACCAATTTTGGTGAAGACACGAGCATTGGTTCCAGATCAATGATGCGTACCGGTCTTCAACATCGTAGATCAATCAAGCATACGTGCGCGCTTGCTAAATCACCAGACGTTCCTCGCACTTCACAGCTCTGCGAGCTTCAAAGAATGTGAGATCAATCTTTCATTCGGGTGCAAATTAATGTCAATGGCGTTTTTCAGCAACTTCAGTTTCCGACGACGCGCGTTATCGTCGGCATTATTCGCTACCGATTTCGACACTTGACGCAGTCTTTTTCCGCACATAAAGACAGTGTCACACACGTTTTACAACATTTCAACTCGCTCTTCCCGGCCCGGGCGTTCATTGAGCTCCTGACAAGACCCAGTCTCAACAAAGCCCTAGCTCTCCCATCCCAGATCCCTCCCTTGCTCCACGAGACGCCTCTCCTAGACGTCTCGAACCTCCTTTCCTTTCCAGAGTCTCCAGCCCTCCCCGGACGCTCCCAGACTACTTCCTGTCGTCCCTCTCCATCACCCTGCCCCTGCCCTCCCCCCCCCCCCCCCCCCACCTCTGACCCGACCCTCACCTGGATCAGCCGGGCCGTCTGCCGGGGGCACCTGAAGCGGACGAAAGCGTCGGCCGCGATGAGGGGCAGCTCGTCGGTCGTCTCCGGCTCCAGCAGGTCCAGACGCTCGCCGAACAGCAGCAGCTGGTACGGCGACACCAGCGAGCAGTCGTGGACCGTCACGCTGGCACTCTTGATCTGCCGGGCATTCAGACAGTCTGGCAGTCTGAGCGTCGCAGCACTGCGCGGCGGCGGACGCCGCTGCGTGAGGCGGACTGGCGCAGGCCGACTCCAATCTGTCGCTGGTGTTCCAGCGGAGTCATAGCAGCCTAGTCGCCGCCTGCGGAAGGCTTGCCTGTAATCTGTCCCAACAGCGCGGTAAAATGCCTGGAACTGTACGCGGGCGGGGCTCCGAGATGGGCGGTTTTCCTTCGGGGGTGGAGATCTACGCGTGGAAAATGGTAACGCAATTTTGTCACGAGCATCCTTAATCCCCCACCAAATCACGGACCAGTTTTGAGCCACTGGCGCCCCGGGCCAAAGCACGGGGGATCGAACATGCGCTGCTCCCATTCGCCTGCTTCGGTCGGCCACTGGGCGTCACCACATGCCACCGTTGATATTCGCATTAGGAAGGGTGACTTTGGAGCTAGAAAATCGCCAAAATAACGATCAAATGAAGGGATGCTTTATCGGTGTGCAATCTCATTGTAAATGACTGACTCTCTTTGAACAAGAGCGCATGGGGACCGATGTTTAAGTCTGTAAATGATATATGTTAATAACATCGGGAACGGAAATGTAATTGATTCACGTCGGTTACGTGAACGGAAAGCTCATTCATTCATTCATTTATTCAAATTGGTCAGTTCGCAGAGGGTTGTGAAACGCGGGACACGGATACGGTTTGGCGACGATTAACTAGACCGAGCAGCGATGGGGCAACTTTACCTATGCTTTAGATAGAACATAGCTCTCAAGACGCGACAACCGTTTCGTATGGGTAGCGTTGGAGCCGTCTCAGTCATTGCGGCGTTTATGACATTCAGATAACAAATGCATCAAATACATGTAAGGCCAGTCTTTACGGTATTTTAGGCAACACCCCAAGTACCACGGTTCGTACGTGTCACGTTAATTGCGACTGATTTAAGTAGGTCGTCAAAATGATGCGTCATTTCAAACGCGCTGAGAAGGAGACCGGCAGACTGCCGAAATACCACGTGATCTGGCCACTTACCGGAAAGCAGAGGTCGGTCGCCTCAGCGGCTGTGGCTTTGCCCAACACACTTACTTCCACAAACCAGCGCCACTTCGCGCACGCTAAATTTCAGCAATCACCAAGTTTCTGGAGAAACGACAGCGGGGTCCTCCTTCGCTTCACCTGAGATTGGTTTCGTCCATCTAATCGGAAACTTCGCGATAGTTATGGGAAACCTTGGAAAGCAACAAGACTCGTCTGTGCGGAGATCCGTTTGAACTCTAACGAGGTGAAAGTTTCTTATTTCCACGAGATTAGTTTACCAGCATGTGTGGCTTAAACCATGAGATCCCAGTGTTCAGGTTAGCTTTGATAAGACGCTCAAATGGCATGGACGTTTGCTTATCTTATCAAAAGGTTCTAAAAGAATACAGGCCCATTGAAAACCTTTGCGGAGGATAGGCCACTTTCGGTAACAACTAGGACACATTCTTACCACCTGGCTCCCAGAAACTCACGTGTTTTCTGAACCCAATGGTGATGATCTTGCATTTGTCGCATTTCAACAAGTGTTGTAAAAGATTATCACTAGGTGAAGACGGAATAGTTTGTTTTTACATTACTCATTAACTAGAAACTTTTACGAAAATCGTACCTCCACGGTTACCCGTCAAAAAATTAGTTGAGTAAAACTTGGCTTTCAACTATGCCACTATTCTTCGCGTTGGCTCCAGATAACAGCATCGTCACAACGGGCGTCCGAGACAAGCGCGTTGCTCGGCTCGCCCGCAATGGACTAAGCAGCCGGCTGCTGATGAGGGAGGACGGCACAGGCGGTCGATCTGGCACAGGCGGTCGATCTGACATGGTACACGGTCGATGAGCCACCAGCAGGCTGAGCAGCTTCCAGCTAGACGAGAGACATATTATTGACGGACCGAGCTGCTCTGCCCATAATGAATCCGTAACAACAAAGCAGACAGCACAGTAGGGGCGTGCGCGCATGACATCCCGGGGGCACGTGGCCCCGCCCCTTTTTTCTTACCGAGTTGATGGCATCCAATATATTTACGTGACTAACGTTGCCAGTTATAAATCCCAGCCTTACACGTAAAAATAAGAAGACTGAGAACATACTATGTTATTTTAAGGCATGCAAAAATTCCGGGCGCCTGGGCGGTGCAAGTTCTAAGAATTAAGTTCTACACACCATCGTTCATCACACAATACATGCGTGGTGCTCAGAGGCCAGTTTAAGTCAACATAGACGCCCTTCCTTCCTATGCTTTTATATGGCCTATCAACTCTTGTTGAAAATGTGCAAGTGCTAAAAAAGTCAAGCAAGTCCTACTCCGAAACTACCTCCAGCGTTGAATTTCGCGTCTGACCCAAGCGGGGCCGAATCTGACCCGAGAAGCTTCGAAAATCTTCGGGAACAATTTTGGATGGACGACAGAAGGGGCAATGACGACGGGGGAACCACCCTGGCTAGTCGGGGAGTCTCGCGCCGACGACCGGAAGCGGGCGTCGTGCTGTCACCAAAGACCCGAAGGGACGTCCGTTCGGCGTGAAGCTCGCGGGCGGCCGGTGGCGACGGTGGCGGCGGCGGCGGGATTACCTTGAGCTTGTAGACGAGCCAGTGGCCGGGCAGGCTGGGCGCCCTGCTGATGACGCACTTGGGGTGCAGGCTGACTCGTCCCTCGGGCGACGAGCACAGCACGCGAGACCGCGTCTTCCTGCGGCGAGGCCACGGCCGGCGTCACCCACGCCACCTCCTCGCCAGCCCCGCCCGGGAGGGCATGACGCTGGGTCGGACATGCAGGACGCGGCGACATCGCGTCACCGGCGGCGGCGAGCTGCCGCGCGGGAGACAACACGCGGCGGGGCTGAAGATAACGGCCAGATGTTCCCTCTCCTCCGCCCGCGCGGCGCTAATCACGCCCTGTTGGCGCTCGGGCCGCGCGCAGGGTAGTGTTGACAGTCCGGGGAGATCGTGGCGCGGCGCGGCACGGTTTAGTCGGCTGCACGAGACTCTTGAAAGGAGCGCGGCTGAAGCTGCTCGTGGGTCGTCTATATTACGGATTCAGCGCTTGGTTGAGCAAGGTTTAACGCATCACGTAATCCGTGAAGATACCTCAAATATGTTGAGACGAAATGGCGACGTCGCATTCTAAAGCGGCCCTGATCCACAGCGGCGCAGTCGGATGACCGCCTCGGCTGTGACGAATAGCTCAATATAAGCATATTTACGACTGAAGTCCGCTGCCGCAGGACGACTTATGAGGCTGGAGATCCACGGCCGACACCCGACGCCACTCAACGCGGCGAGCTCCGGACAGCTGCCTCACGCCAAGCCGTGGCACACGAACAACGCGGGGAGAAGGACGCGCGGCCCTGTCCAATCCGGGCGCGCCAAACGCGGCCTGGTCGCGGCGGGAAGCGCTCTAAACGCGGCGGACCGCCCCCCCCCCCCCCCCCCCGAAGACCGCCGCGCGCGCGCGCGGAGCGTCCGTGTCAGCAGGGACCGCTCCTCCTCGCGCTGACCGCCGTTACCTGGCGTACAGGACGTTGGGGTAGAGGCCGGCGCTGATCACCGCCCGGATCACGCCCAGGTTGTACGAGTTCTCGTTGAGGGCCGGCTCACGGGCCTGGGTGTTGCTGACGAACCGCAGCTTGTGCAGGTGCTCCAGGAACTGTTGCCGCGTGGCCCTGCAGACGACGCTGCACCGTCACGCTGGTGATGACGTGTGTTCGGTGGAGCGGTGACGCTACCAAGCGTCCCGAACAGGGGGTTCCTTCAAGGGAGCGCCATCTGCACAGTTGAGATTTATCTTCACACGTATGTAATAGAAATGTTCAAGTCACACTGCAAGGTCAGTTTTATAAATTCACATATTTTTGAAATGATGGTCTCCTACGTATTGTTCATGGTTCAACAATGCGGAATTATCTACGCGCGTTTTTGTACGCTTCTTTTGGAAATAGCAGACCACGAACATTCACTACAAAGGCGTTTGCGGTATCCTCCAAAGCGCTGTTCTTGCGACACGGAAACATGAGGCGAACTGCAGCGGCGTAAGAAGAGCAAAATGAGGCTCCTGAAGATTCCAGATGCAATCACAACGTTTATCATCGAGGCACGCGAGAGCTGGCGCTATCAGCGCAGTACGACGCCACGACAGCTTACATTATCAGCGTCGTACAACGCTATGACAGCCCGCCCTATCAGCGCCGCGCAGTGCCGTGACAGCTTACATCATCAGCGCCGTACAACCCTATGACAGCCTGCATTATCAGCGTCGTACAGCGCTATGACAACCTGCGTCATCAGCATCGTACAGCGCCGTGACAGCTTACATTATCAGCGCGGTACAACGCTATGACAGCCTGCATTATCAGCGCGGTATAACGCTATGACAGCCTGCGTTATCGGTGCCGTACGACGGTACGCAGGAAGATCCGATCGGGCCAGAACGTGATAAGCCAGCGTGATTAGCTCCGAGGTCAATCAGGCAATGTCAACACACACACAAACGGCTGTGCCGCGCTGAGCTTTCCGTCTGTCACCGACATGTCAGCGTTCAGCGCAGGCTGCAGCCGACGCACCACCAGCACTGCCAGACAGCCGCACGAGGCGTGTGGCCCGAGACCCGGTCCCACTGCCGGGCGCAGGTGAGGCGCGGGCGTAACCTCACTATCCCACCGGGATGCGCCGAGCGGTGGACTTAACAGCGACGCTCAACTCCGAAAAGGTGCTGTTAAGTGGGCACGTGACGGGGGCAGTTACAACGATGGCATGTGGGGTTTGAATGCTTAGTCCGATGGCGGTACCAATTGTGATGCCCTAAGTTGCATTATGTGCCTAGTGTGAAAGGTTCCGACGTCAAGCAGTGGGGGAATCGGAGAGACTTGTTCAAAACGTTTTAATGTGCACACGCGCAAGCAATACAGATGGTGATAAGGCAACGAAGACGCCACAGGCGTTTGAAACGCTCCTAACCCAGAGCGTCAGCGCTGGTCTACATGGGCAAAAGTACCCAGGACAACATGCCGGAGAACGAGCACAGTGCCGGACCCGCGGTTCATTCTAGTCGGCCTCACCACGTTGATTGGGAGAGATGAGTCACTCCACGGTAACTAATCCACTCTGTACTAATCCGCACGATTCCTGTAAGGTCAGCATGGTCCACTCCGTTATTGCAAACGGCCACATCAGATACGAGGACGCCGGCAGCACGGAAGCTTGGCACTTGAGTAATGATTTATATACTCGGATGCATATAGCCCCGAATTAGGGGGTCATTTGTGGACAATTCACGAGGCAGTTGTCAATGTCCTGCGTCGGCAATGGCTCAGTCTGATTTATAATGACTAGCGATGGGTAACCAGGCAAAACGCGGGGTGCCGACAGTGTAGTGGTTACGCCGCGCGCCTGGGAGGCCAAAGGCCAGGGGTTTGATTCCGCGCGGTGCTCGCCCTCGTTGCCAGAGTGAGAGGCCAGCAAAAAACCTAAAACCTAAACCAAAAACTAAACCAAAAAACCTAAAACCCTCAGCAGCTGAGCGTGTCGTCAAAACCCTGCCGCGGAACTGGCGATACGATTCCCGCGGCATTTGCTGTGTAGGTGAACCGGTGAAACTACCAGGAGCGTTCACAGGTGCCGTCCACGCGCCGACACACGTGGCACATGGTCCGTTCCCGCTTCCTCGTCACGTGGGGAGCCAGACGGCACCATATCGACCGAGAGTGTCCACACTCCGCCGCTGACCTTAACAGGTCTCCCCGACAATTAACTCCACTCTTGCACTCACTCTCACTCACATCCACACTCTTACACTCCTCAATACGTCAATACTTCTATACGTCCGCTATTCTGGAACCCGACCAGCGGCAGAAACGAACAGTTCCGGTGTGCAAATGATGTCATTGACTCAGCACGTCAACGCACGTTCGGGCACTACACTAGCGTGCGCCAAACCACGTACAGCACGTTGGCTCGTAATGCGAGACATGTTTCCGAATCGACACCTACCCCTGGCACAGTATTCAACGTTGCGGTGTTTTGGAGCTCAGCAAGTGTGTCTTTTGAACAAATCATGAACTATGCGAGCCTTCACCAGCGCCGCGTCGCGGCACTCTTTCGAAGATTCTGCCACGGCGCTGACAAACGGTCAATCATCGGCCTCCCTATAACACATATGACTAGTTCCTCGTCGCAGTCACTGGCGTGTCCGTTTGAAATCTCCAGTGACACACAGCATAACACCTGTTCAATCACTGACCAGTGTCATCAGGCCTATCGCGCCCCATCATATGAAACAAATGCATTTGTGGCGCATGCAACGCGCACTGATCTGCCTCCTCCTTCACTACGGTATCACACCGCCCGTCCTGGGGCAGGACGCCCCGCCCCCTGTCGCCACTTGTTCAGATCAGTCCTACCGCACGGCGCAAACACAGGCCGCCGCGCCGAAACCCCGGCTCGCGCTCCGCGCCGCCAGCTGGGCGCTCCGACTCCGCCCAGCTCTGCGGCAGTGCCGGCGGCCGGCGCGTGCTGCGACACAGCACCCGTGCGCCTGTACGGGGAGCTCGCTCGTCTCAATGACAGATCGCGCCGGCGGAGTCCGCCCGGCCGAGGCGTATTTTCCACACGATCCGCGCGGTGGAGGTGGCTGCTTGGTGGAGCAGCGCAACGCTCTCGCGATAGGCCCATTTATCCGTGCCGCAGCACGCGTTGCGGGCTATTATTTATCCATTTACGCGGAAAACGTGCGCGGCGCGGTACGCTAAATAGCGGCAAAGCTGTTGGGTGAGGGTGTCCGGGGTGAAGGTGTGAGCTGTTGGCTGAGGGTGTCCAGGGTGAGGGTATGAGCTGTTGGGTGGGGGTGTCCAGGTTGAAGGCGTGAGCTGTTGGCTGAGGGTGTCCAGGGTGAGGGTGCGAGCTGTTGGCTGAGGGTGTCCAGGGTGAGGGCGTGAACTGTTGGCTGAGGGTGTCCAGGGTGAGGGTGTGAGCTGTTGGGTGAGGGTGTCCAGGGTGAGGGTGTGAGCTGTTGGGTGAGGGTGTCCAGGGTGAGGGTGTCCAGGGTGAGGGTGTGAGCTGTCGGGTGAGGGTGTCCAGGGTGAGGGTGTGAGCTGTTGGGTGAGGGTGTCCGGGGTGAGGGTGTGAGCTGTTGGGTGGGGGTGTCCAGGGTGAGGGTGTGAGCTGTTCGGTGAGGGTGTCCAGGGTGAGGGTGTGAGCTGTCGGGTGAGGGTGTCCAGGGTGAGGGCGTGAACTGTTGGCTGAGGGTGTCCATGGTGATGGTGTGAGATGTTCGGTGAGGGTGTCCAGGGTGAGGGCGTGAACTGTTGGCTGAGGGTGTCCAGGGTGAGGGTGTGAGCTGTTGGCTGAGGGTGTCCAGGGTGAGGATGTGAGGTGTTGGGTGAGGGTGTCCAGGGTGAGGGTGTGAGCTGATGGGTGAGGGTGTCCAGGGTGAGGGTGTGAGCTGTTCGGTGAGGGTGTCCAGGGTGAGGGTGTGAGATGTTCGGTGAGGGTGTCCAGGGTGAGGGTGTGAGCTGTTGGGTGAGGGTGTCCAGGGTGAGGGTGTGAGCTGTTCGGTGAGGGTGTCCAGGGTGAGGGTGTGAGATGTTCGGTGAGGGTGTCCAGGGTGAGGGTGTGAGCTGCTGGGTGAGGGTGTCCAGGGTAAGGGTGTGAGCTGTTCGGTGAGGGTGTCCAGGGTGAGGGTGTGAGATGTTCGGTGAGGGTGTCCAGGGTGAGGGTGTGAGCTGTTGGGTGAGGGCATCCAGGGTACTATACACAAAAAATACTCCGCCAAGTTCTATACAAGAATTGCAAACGTTTTAGTAATTTCACATCTTGTCGGTACATTCGAGGGAGCCTTCAGGATCTTCCCAAATGTTTCTGAACCTTAGCATGGGGTTTGTTTCAGCATGATACAACACGACTTAAACCGCTTATCCAAAGTATAACACCCAACGCAAGTCATGACATGGCGCTTTACCAAGACCAACACCAATGCAGCCGGCCATGACCCGCAGGTCACCTGCGTCACACAACCGCCCCTCCCACCCCCTGTCCGGCCAGCGTCCCTCCTGACCCCGCCGCTTCCGCAGGAACTCGGACACGCGGCGGGCGGGGCGGGGAGGTGGTCGGTCCGACAACGGCCGCCGAGTCGCGGCACTTCCGTGAGGTGGTCCCGCGGGTAGACGTAGGCTGGGCCGGCTTGGAGCGGGGCCGGTTCGGGCCGCGGCCGGCCTGCGGCGCCCCCCCCCCCCCCTTCCCTCCGGAGGGGACGCGCCTGCGCCGGGTCTGGCGTGCTGACTGGCCCTGCGCGTGTGATAGAGCTGGCGTGTGAGGTCGGTCGGGTGACCTTGACAACCCCCGCTGCAGAGCCGGGTCCGGCGCCCCCGAGCCGCCCGTGACAGGAGCCAGGAGCGACGCCCCCGGCAGCTCCGGCGGTGCAACGTTCCGGTACAATGCCCCTGCCACAGATCTGATGCACCGACAGGTCTGGCACCTTGGCGAAAGCCGTGGCGCCCGTGGCGGGCGCCTGGAGCATGTAGTTTGTGGCGTGACGGGCTGGCGCGGGGCCCCAGCCAGGGCATGTCCCCGCCCGAGCTACGCCCACCCCTGAGTTTGAGCCTGGGCCGAGGGCCTCTCACGCGGCCTCAGGGCCCTCGCCCCGCCCCGACCCCACACGAAGGCTCAATCT